CTTCCTCTCGCAGCATCTCGATCTTCTCAACCTGTCACTCACATGAGATCAACCAATAGCAACCCACGACCATCCAATCAATTCCCTGTGCACAAAATTAAGCCCCGCCCTACATTTTTTCTTGTTCGAGAAGCTGTTGTTGACAAATCAGGTCCTCCCTTGAAAACGGATCTCTGTTAAGACCCCAAGCCGTCCCATTGGCTCAAATTTCTTTTAATAGGCACTCTCTTTAGTGCCTTATTACATTTACCATTCCTACAAAATCATGTTATGATAGGCCTATAGCTAATATCCCTATGACTGCTAAAAAAAAGTATGTGGTAAATAGAATGAATGTAATCGGGGTACTTTTTGCCTACTTTTTTATGAGTACTGTGAATTCAGACATACTTATTTTATCACATACTGTTTTTCGCCTACTATATAGTAGGGAAGTATGTGATTTCAGATGCAGCCCTTGTTTGTATGGGATTTCCCAGCATGCATCTGTTTGAACACAATCATGTGAGATAAGTTTGAATTTATAAATAAAATGTTGTATATAGTGGAGACTGGGGCAAGTTGTCACACGCGTAAGTCACAAGATTTTTATCTCAATAACTTAAGTCATAAATGCTTTTTTTGCTGTTAAACTGATATTTCTGACCTTTTTCATTTATACTGTCATATATTTTTTTTTACTTTATATATTTCCCATTAAATGGCCCATAATTCATATTAAATACACATTTATTGTGAAAAATTTATATTTTAAAACAGATTAGTCCCTCTATAGAGGGAACAGTGTCACAAAAGTTCAGAAATTGACTTTGAAAAATGAACCAACTGAGGTAAAAAAGAAAGAAAGTGTGACAACTTGCCCCAGTCTACCAGAATTGTGCCATGCAGCTTGCTTGAGTAATCTGACTCGACTGCTTAAATGCTTCAAAACATGGTTTCAGCTATGGTTGCCAACATTTCTAATTTTCACTTAGTTACTTGATGTACTAAAATAACTCAAACTCAGCGGCCCAAATGAGTTTCCACGCAATATTAAACATGCTAATAAAGCAAACATAAGCATAACCCGTCGGACCAATTGTCTCGGTGGTCCTCATAGCTCGACTGCTCCCAGCGATATTAAACATGCCTATAAAGCAAACATAACCATAAGGAAACATCTGAATAAAACAAGCCAGAGCTGCAGTTCCTCTGTTGGCCACGAGGTGGCGCAATCCCCTCATCATCTGATCTGATCTGATCCAGTGGGAAGCAGTCCTGTGAAGTTTGCAGACTCAGGGAAAAATGATTAGGCCTACAGTGCTGAATTTCACGGCGTTTTCATGAAAACGTGCCGCTTCGCTGCATAATAAACATCTGCTCGACAGACCGCATGAAAACAGCGTCGAAAGCAAAGAATCTCAGGTATTTCTGCCGCGTTGTTTGTTGAATCGGTTGCAGGAAAGACATTTAAGTCACAGTTATTTATATGGCGTTTTAATGACTGTTCCCAAGCAGCTTAAAAAAATTAAAGTGTTGATGTTGAGAAATTAATTAATTATAAAATCATTAATTATTAATTCATCTCCACCACAGAAGACGATAGTGACATTATGCAGCACAATTCTGTTCAATGTTGATTCAATTCAGTTTTATGACAGTGTTGATGCTGCAAAGTTCATCAATTATGAAACGAGTTCAATTCAGCAATAGTGTCGTTTTTCAGATCAAATCAGTTGATTCAACTAAGTTCAATATTGTCGATGTTGTAAAGTTAGTTTCACAGTGTTAGCGTTTATTCGAACAATATCTCGGAAAAAGAAAGAAGTCTATGGTTGAATTATTATATGCAGAAATATTCCGCTCTGGAAAGTGCAGGTCTTCTCTCTTAAATTATGTCTCTTTAACCCTTAAACTGTCGCGTCACGGTAGCACTGTTTTTTATTGCCGTTTTTCATAACACATATTTTAGTAATCATCATAAATTAGGTGTCAGACTCAAATCGAAAGTTTAAACGCTCAAAATTCATCCTGTGAAACCGTTTTGAAATTGGACATTGCGTTACCATGGAAACGCTACTTTAAAACCGTTTAGCAGGCTCCTCCCCCTAATGGGAGGTGTCATTTCCATAATACAAAATGTATTTTAACAATTTTATAATCAGAACCAGAACAACACGCATATCGTCGGAAAGGTCTCGGACTCAAGGTTTCATATTTGGCGACTGTTTTGTGATAGAAGTGACATTGTGATAGAAATCTATTAATTTGTTAGAGGAGAACGCATTAAAAAAATCAATGGAAGGTGTGTGTCGCACTGTGGCTATTTTATGTATTACGCCTAAACAAAATCTCATTGAAAATTATTTTTTGTGATATCAACTTCAAATTTGGAACATAACTTAGTCAGACATGTGGCTTTGATTAAAATTATTTTGTTAAATACATATTTTGTATAAAAAAACCCTGTACATTTGCTTTACAGTAACTTTTTTTTTTACAATTTTTCACACTTTTTTTAATTGATTTTACTAGATTTAAAGGTGAATAAATGTAGATATGCAGATGTTTCCCAGTAATCTCACGGATGTCTCCTCTAGAACTGCTCTTGATCATGTGAGTTCATCGGTGCTTTGTAAAACAGTGATGCCAAAAAAAAGTACTTTATACATTGAGTTTGATGTCTGTGCTCCAATTTGCCAAGATACTGAAGTTTGCGAGATGTTGGTTGCAGATTCTCTCAAGATCAAATGATCTGAGCACAACATCACCATTTCCTTTCCTTTAAAGTGAACTTCTTGTTTGATTTCTGTCTTGCAGTTTCTCTCATATGGAAAACGAGGTCACGGTATATGCAGACGTCTGAGTGCTGATGTGAGTGTTTACCAGCATCATACGAGAAACACACAGATTAAAGTGACAGGGGATTCATGCTGTGTTTAAACACCCATTGAACAGACTCAGACTGAGTAGTTGAAGTGTTAGTTCACCCAAAAATGATAATTCTGTCATTAATAACTCTCCCTCATGTCGTTCCAAGCCTGTGAGATGAAGATATTTTAATGAAATCCGAGGGATTTCTGGCCCTTCACAACTACCACTTTGACGCTTCAAAAAGTTCTTTAAGAGGTTTTCTGAAGAGATGATGAAATGCTGTATATGATGATGATGATTTAATTTATGAACACCCTAGCAATGCCCTAGCAACCACTATAGACACCCTAGCAACACCCTAGCAACGGCAATGAGGATCTGTATTGTTTTATATCTCTTGAGGAGACAGTCACATCCCGTTGTTTGATTTCAGCGTTTTTGTGGTTACAGATCGGTGTCATTTGCTTTCTGCTGTGCGGCACGTGATTGTTGCGAGTCCAAACACACTATCACACACACACACACACACACACACACTCACTCACTCACTCACTCACTCACTCACACACACACACACTCACTCACTCACACACACACACACACTCACTCACTCACTCACTCACACACTCACTCACTCACAC